GGGAATCCAAGTCTTATATTCCAGGGTATGCTCAAAATATAAAACATTGTGAAAACAGAACGTTTGAGATTATTTTTTACGCTTTTTACGTAGACAGGGCTGAAAATAAGTTTTCAACAGTAATGTTCTATTTGATGAAGGTCTACACGAACAACAATTTACAATCGTATAGAAGTACTTTTGGTTTCGGCAAACTATTTTCCAAATTGAGTAAAAGTATGTGTTAATTATAATCTGGTTTCGGTTTCCGTTTTCTTCCAAATATCTGCATCTTCACAAATCAAAAATAATTTACAAACAAAATTTTCAATCACTTCTGTAAAAAAATGTCCATAGTTAAGTTTCGTTGACTTTTTTTAAAACAATATTTTCCTATATTTTGTGAATACATCACATGACGACATATTAAAGCTGTTATACCCGAAAACTCAGGTAAATGACCTAGAAAAATATGCAAAGGGAATCTAAGAAATATAATCATAAGTCCAGATCTACATTTCTTTTTATCTTCCATGTAGATCTTTTTGTTTTGCTTCATACCATTTCATTTAATTTGGATTTCCTGAGAAAGCTATCTTTAGCCATACAATCCAGATAGATCTGATGTCAGCTTCTTTCGGTTTCGACTCGCAAAATTCAATAATATTAAACTTGTTTCATTTTCGGTTTTAATTATCAGCATTAAATAGAAATTAGCTCGTGCAGAACATACATTTCGATCTTTGTACACTCAGATTATCGAGAAAAATGTTGATGCCGAATGGATGTGGTCGTTGACTTCAAATATATGGCAGTATTTCAAATGTATTTTTTTTTTATTTTTTGATCTGTTAATTTGTAAAAAAAAAAAGGATTTTTTTTATAATTTAATATATTTATTAAACAAAAAATCTGAAGATTTATCGTTTATATACGATATACATTCTTTAGTTCTGGACAATTCTTGCTAGCCCCATTTTCTAAGATATCCCATTGATTTGTTTCATTTATTAAACCTGAACACACTGGTCTACAAAATAATGACATAGTGAAAATCAGTTTATAAATAGCAGAAAATGGTTTTCAGTAAAACCTAAAATATATGAATTTATTTATCTGAAATCTGTGGCACTCGAAGGTTCAAATATTAAGAAACATTTGTCATAGTTTCTAATTATAGATACTGTAGAGCTTGGTTTCCTTGGTTTTTTGGGGGAAACCAATGTTGAAGTTTCTTCTATAAAAAAAACTTTAAAAAATACACGAATTATTTAATTGCTTTTTGTTTTGATACTTAAATTCTGTTTTTAATCAAATAAATATTTTTAACTGCCTTATAGGATTTTTCTGCTGTTTATGTATGATTCTTTAAGTACATATACACTAAACCATTCATTCATTTTACGTGTAATGAACCAAATATTCTATTTAAATATAACCACTGATGTACGATTTTAAACAATGTCAACAGTTGACATTTTGTACTTTCGGTTTCTGCAACCATGATAATATATATATTTATGTTTTACTATTACCATGGTTCATGTTCCTCCTTGTTAATTTGTGTCATAATTAGTAGATTTAATACAAATTGATAATGTCTGGCAAAGCCAGACGTCTTTATTGTCTTAGAATAGATTATGAGATAATCAAAGTATATATATAAATATATATATACTACTGTTCATAAATTATTTTGCAAATCATGGGCGACTCGCCCAGGCAGGAAGAACCATAGTCTGAAAACCTTTGCCCTTTTATCTTGTGTCTAGTACCACTTGATGTAGGGCTACAGGCTTGAAAAATATTTTACAAACCCTTTACTGCTGATTAACATAAAAGTTTAGTTGATGCATTTTGAATACAAAATGATAATATGCAAAAATATAAAGTAAAACAATAACTAAAGGAAACTTATACAGGTAACGTCCATTGTGATACATAAAGAGTACAAAAGACAATTACATTAAAATACAAAATATCCAAGTTAAATGAAGTTATTTATCTCATTTCTAGTTTCGGTGGGTGCAGGGGAGGTATGGGAAGAAAGAAGAATATAATATAAGTATATTGCAGTATTTAACTACAAATGTTATTCCAGTTCAAATAAAATGATAATGTATAGAAGTTGTCAATAGCGCGCATTTCAAAGAATGAAAGGGTTTTGCGTGATTCACTACAATTAACTTAATCAAACCAAGCCATCTCCCTTTACATAAGAAAGTGTACAATTTGCGCGCCTGCTGCTTTTATTGTGCAGTCATACGATCATGTTAATTCCAGATATATGGAACAGATAAATTAACATTACTGTACATGTATATAGGTTTCAAATAAATATCTTAAAGAAATTGGTGCTGGTTACTTATAAAATACAAACGAATTTATCTGCGATATAAATTACGATTTCATAATGTATTGTTTGCTTTTGTATCTATGAATCCACTTATTTTAAGTGGACTTTTATTTGATATACAAATGTATTGGACAACTCCCAGCATTACATTACTATTTGTTTACACGAGACCGAAATATTCTATATAAAACAGGATTGGATTGATAGCTAACGGGGGCAGGGGTCATATTCGAATGATGGCCCAGGTCAATTTTTTTAATAACTCAGACATGGTGTTTTGAAGGTAATGATAACTTCTGATATTTCTCTGTCATTGTAATTCTTTCTTGTGTGTAGGAAATGAGAAGTATTTTTGGGTTTTTACCCGAAACTAAGCATTTTGGTAGCTTTGTATGTCTTTTTGACTCTCCGAATGGAGGTGAAAAAGTTAAAAATCAAGTTTTGACAGTTGGGGGCAATCAAGTAAGAAATTTCAGATAAATTTTGTGAAAAATCTAAACGTATGACAGACACTTTATTGGTCATTTCTGAAAATGCCATAGCTGGCACTGCGTGTTACTGATATTTTTAAAGGAATCGGGCGGATTCTGGAGTATGATGTACCTTGATGAAGATTGCCCATATTGGTATATTTTAGTTCTGATTTTGGCTGGATGGGGGTAAATATAAATTGCTGTCAGTCATTTTTCGAAGGAGCAATACATGCAAACTATTATTTTATTCAATGTATGTCTTATATCATTGAATAATGCTGTTGCAACTGGTTATCTGCCTGTGAAACAGATTTTGAAATATTTGGAATTGTGTTTATGGTCATACTGAAATACAAAATTTTCCATTTCTAGGTCCCCTGCCCCCTTAAGTCCTTGCGCATATCACACAGGTTTTCCGGTTGAATTATTTTTGAGTTATTGCCCTTGAATAAATTTATAAGGCGTTTTGGCCAATTAAAGATTTCTGGGTGTGCCTGCTACACTGTAGCTGATACATGCTACAAAATAGCCACAACTGATTAGAATTGCTTCTTTGTTGTCTTCCTATCTATCTATCTGTCTGTCTGTCTGTCTGTCTGTCTGTCTGTCCGTCCGTCCGTCTGGCCGTCCGTCCTCCTCAAAAACTTCTGGTGCATTTTCATCCAAACTGCAATTTTATACAGTAATGATCAGTACCAAATAGAGAAATAAGAATCCCTTAAAAAAGCCCAACATGGCCAAATTGAAAATGTTGCAGGCTCGGTTTGATTGAGCCTGTACATGGTAGGTGCTGTCAATAGCAACCTACTGCCGATGCCCCCTAGCTACAGCTTAAACAGAATTCAACATTTAAATATGAAATGGTAAAATTTGGAATTTAGAATCATCCGCAGATGCGTTCATACGGCGGTTATCTTGGTACCTTCAATGTGGCATTACCGTGCCATTCCATGAAAAGCGGCGTATAGTCCCCAAGTAATAGAAAGCGTATGTCCTTAACGAGAAAACAAATGGCGGAACTAAACACAATATGTAATTTTGAAAGGGGATCAGAGGCTAAGTCTAGTTGTACATATCGTCGACTTTTCTGAATCCTATGATTTGAAAAGTTTTTGCCCTTTTATTACTTCAATTAGCCCCCAACCGGTATAACCGGAGGGGACTTCAGGGTTGTTTTCTTCCGTCAGTCTATCACAAAACTGGATCCTGTGAAAACGCAAAAAGTGCTGAAAATATTTTTATGATACTTGATATGTTATAGTATGGAGATTATACACATCATTGTGATCTTGACTATAGGATGTTTTGAGATATAAATCCGAGTGTCTCGCCAAGCGTCGGCGACCTCGACAAGATAAGTTTTTACGCCTTTTTCGGGAGGGAATCACGTGACTGTTAAGTAATACAAACGACGGAATAGAATAGTTAAGAAGTAGCAGTCAATTACTTAAAAAGACTATGAAGTAAGTTTTATAGCTCTAAATATGGAGTAATTATCTATTTTGTGATGTTGCAGGGGTTATTAACACAAGAAAAAAATAAAGCAGTTCGTCTGCAATTATGGAAGCAGATTAACCAACTTGCTGGATCACCAGAAAATTTACATTGGTCGGCAACATAAACAAGAGTAACCTTCAACATGAACATTCACCGGAAAAAAAACATTTGAAGATCACGTAGTTTTTCACCCAGGGGAGAGAAACAACACATGCGTTCGAGGTTCACACACAGACCTGTAGTTTTTCTCTTCATCGTTCATAACCGCGAAGTCTTCAAATTATTTTATTGTGTAAATGCTCATGTTACAGGTGTCACATGTATATGCGACCGGACCATTTACTTTCTGGTGAACCTGCGAGTCAGCCTCAACGGCAAGTGTGCTTCCAAAATTGCAGACGCAGACATATCACCACAGAAAGGTCTCCTTTTGGTTTTGACCTCTGCCCCAGAACGAAAATATTTGAGAATCAAGCTTGGGCACGTCAATATGTTTTGACTAGTAAAATACCATGTATTTCAAACGGGCGTATAAAAAGTACAAAACTGCCGAAAAATACCAGAATATTTTGATTAAGTATCCAAACAATTGTCTTAAGAATGATTTTACAAATGACAAAATCAGATGAATAATAACATATTTAGTGTCAAACTTTATTTGGCCTCTTTAATATTCACTTTATTACGTCACTCCCAGCAGGCACTCGACGTTGTTTCAACGTTGAAACAACGTTGAAATATGGTCGTGACGTTGTTCAACCAATATTCAACTATGGACGACCATACGGATATATAGCCAATGTATATACAACGTTGATTCAACGTTGTTTATGGTCGAAGTTTTACATTTAGTTTAATCATTATATAAACTTTTATACCACTAATTTTGTGTTATTATTCCTTTTTTTTTTTTATTGAATTAGTCTGTAAGTGTTTTTTGTCAGGAAAATTTGCGTTACAATCTTTTTCCGTATATATTCAAAATTAGCGCTGAAACAAATAAAGTTGGAAATAATTTTTCACTTTCTAATAACGCTTTAAATATTAGTTAATATGTTTTGTTGTTTGTTGTTTTATTTTTTAGTTCTTTATGAATAATATTAATTAATAAATTGATATTAGTCAAAACCCTGTTTATAAAATAACGCTGGTCAGGGGAAGTAATTGTTGCGGTCTATGATTTTGTTTGTTGTCTATGATTATCGTTCGTGCAAATGGTGGCGCTGTTTGGAAAATTTGAAAACAACACGATTGGCAATTTATTTGGATTTCGGAGGTATTACCGTAATGTTTTATTTAGTTTACTGATTATTTTCTAAAATATTATTATTTATTCTTAAAATTCTACTTTAATTTACTTTATAAATTAAATGAGAGATGAAAACACATGATTGAGTTGATTTGACACATTTTCGCGACCTAATTGAAAGATTTGGGATCGGTAGGCCTTGTAAGCATGGAGTTATTGATGTCCTTGGCAATTTATGATGTTACAAATCTTGTCTTTTTTTAAATTTATTTATCATATTATTAAACATTTGTCTGTACTATATCCTAATTAGAATTTAATCAATTATAAAATTGTAACCTATAAAGTAGTTCGGCCCACATAATTTACGTACCAAGACGATTCGTTAATATATATAACTATGTTTATATTTTAGTGAAAGTATAATACAGTGTTAATAAGTTTGAAAAAAAATACATTATTATCAAGTTAAATAACAAATTTGAGAGTTAAACTTTAACAATAGTCGTAAATTTATGGGGAATAATAAATCTATTTCTATTTTATAATGTATTATTTTATATTCTAGATCCTGGTCCTGGTTGAAATTTAGAGTATTGCAGCTGTAGCCTGTATACCATACATTCAGCATGAAAAGGACTGTCAGGTTCGTTAAATTGAAATTTATTCTTATTAATTTATATATTTGAATTTTTTTACAATACAAAGTATAAATTTTTCAACTACTGGATATTTATCTTGTCTTAAAATATATTATTTTTGGAATATTCGTGTAACATTATTTATATAAAATTTACATGTTTGTTGATTTCAGGATGCTGCATAAAATGGTCTTAGCTAGAGCCTATACTGTTAATTTCTTGGGAATATGCTGCAAGGAACTGACAGGGAGCAGTTTTTCTTACCAATCATAGGTGAGACTTTTAAATAGCTTCTTTTTAAATTGTGTTGTCTTATATACAGTATTTGCTGTCAATATGAAACTTAGCTATGTTTCAATTTCTATGCTGTTTTATGATGTAAATCTTAGAGAAAAGCATTTTAAGATAAAAACAAATCACTAAGTTGAGTAATTATATGTATAATTTGAGATTGACCAAGTCACTTTTACTACAAACTTCTTATTTTTATTTGCAGAAGCAGTAAGAGACAGCCAAAGAAGTACTCAAACACTTGACATACCCAGAAAGATCTAGAAGAAAAGATTGGAACAGATTGTAGTTTAATTGTTAAAACTATTAAAGTGAATTTAAGCTGCACTTGAACTGTATTTTTGAAATAAAATATCTGAAGTATTTAATTTTGTCTTGATATTTTGTTAAACTTGGTTACTTTGTTTTATATCCAAAAATTAAAGTATGGTGGGTTTTCAACGTTAAAATGACATTGAAACTTCAACGTTGTGCCAACGTTGTAGCTGCAACATTGTATCAACGTTGAAATTTCAACGTTGTTTCAACTTTCAAATCCGAATATAAATTCAACCTTATTTCAACGTTGAAATCTGACCATAATTCAACGTTGAAACAACGTTGATGTGCCTGCTGGGCTACTAGTCTGCCGCTTAATTACTTGAATGGTGGGTTTACATTTGACCTTATAAATATGCACGGTTTTCATCACTTTGCGCTCGAAAACGCATGCACCCTTGTATTATGGAGAATGTCATATGACTTATGCCAGTTTTCATTTGTTCGATATTGGACAAACATTTTTTATGCGTTGGACAATTCATACTCAGTAACCAATACATTATATATTATATGATTTATACATGTGTTTACAGGTTGTTACGTAATGTACTTTACAAAAACATAATGTCTACTTTCACTTTCATGTTTCAAACATCTACCCGGTCTAGCTATGCACTGGTATTTTTGCCCTGTGAGCGCCCCTGTATGATTGTATACGTCACTGCCTGGTTTCACAATAATGCGCAACAGGTGAAGGTTGTGGGAATCCTAGTCTTATATTCCAGGGTATGCTCAAAATATATAACATTGTGAACAGAACGTTTGAGATTATTTGAGTAGATAAACGACCACCATCGACAATGGCAGTAAGTATCATTATATTTCTATGAACTCTTAATCTAATTTTTATGATCTAATTGTTTTCTTCATTTTTTTATTTTTATTTATTTATTTATTTATTTATTTTTAAATAGAATCTGGCAAATCCTACGTCTAACTCTTCCAAGATAGAATTTGGAAGTTTGGAGTAGAACTCTTGATTAAACTTTTCAAATACTAATTGTTCATACTTATGCTACTGTAAATGAAGTTTCGAGCTAAAAATGCGCTTATCTTATAAAAGATACTCCACTGAGGCTTTTTACGTAGACAGGGCTGAAAATAAGTTTTCAAAAGTAATGTTCCATTTGATGAAGGTCTACACGAACAACAATTTACAATCGTATAGAAGTATTTTTGGTTTCGGCAAACTATTTTCCAAATTGAGTAAATGTATGTGTTTATTATAATCTGGTTACGGTTTCCGTTTTCTTCCAACTTAAAATATCTGCATCTTCACAAATCAAAAAAAAAATTTACAAACAAATTTTTAATCACTTCTGTAAAAAAATGTCCATAGTTAAGTTTCGTTCACTTTTTTAAAACAATATTTTTCTATATTTTGTGTATACATCACATGACGACATATTAAAGCTGTAATACCCGAAAACTCAGGTAAATGACCTAGAAAAATATGCAAAGGGAATCTAAGAAATATAATCATAAGTCCAGATCTACATTTTTTTTCATCTTGCATGTAGATCTTTTTGTTTTGCTTCATTTCATAATTATTTGGATTTCCTGAGAAAGCTATCTTTAGCCATACAATCCAGATAGATCTAATGTCAGCTTCTTTCGGTTCATCGTCGGATACCCACGGCCGAACCATTATCATTCATGCATGTTATGTGACATGTTTATCAATCGTGGGTATCCGACGATGCTTTCGGTTTCGACTCGCAAAATTCAATAATATTAAACTTGTTTCATTTTCGATTTTAATTCTCAGCATTAAATAGAAATTAGCTAGAGCAGAGTGTACATTTCCTTTACATTAGCAAGAAATTGTTATTTGCAGCTCTACAAAAATAACAACAGTGTCTCAGTCTTCAGTTTTACAAATTAAAACCACAGGCACGAGTATCGGACCTGGGTAGCCCAACAAATTGTGCGCTTTAGGGCTTTTTTTATATATAAGATGGTCGCCCTTCGCGCACAACCCACTTACGATTCAAAACAATGCGGAAAGTTTTCCTTCTTTGTGTATGTGCCAGCGACCAGAATCTCGTCGCTAACTTTGACAGCTTCAAATATTTATTTAAACTCAACATTTCTTGGAAAAAATTACAATACCTGCAAAGCTTATTCAAAATAGAATTAATTTAAAGAAAATTGATCAGAAAGTTATATGTTTTTAATGCACAACCAGGGGCGTAACTGAGCTATTTTGCTATGTACTCCTTAACTAGGGGGGTTGGGGGGCATGCTTCCCCCGAGAAAATTTTTGAAAAAAGGAGCGATATCCTGGCATTTCGTGACTATCTAGAGGCTACATTGACAACATATTGGTGATGATTTCAAACTAATTTTTATAAATTTTAAAATATGTATAATACGTATATATACCATAAAACTTTTCTTATATTTATAATTGATATTTTGCAGCACAAATTTGTTATTTTGCGACCTTCAAAATGATGTTTAGCAAAAAATCTCCCGTATTCAATAAATTTTAAACTAAAAATAAATGAATAAATAAACAAACAAAAACAAACACTAGACGTCTGTTTTGTTGTTATGCAAAGTTGTCTACGGCTGTCTTTTCGTTTTCTTTCCATGATTGAGAATAAACAAGATTTTGAATATCTTCTATTATAATTGAAGGGTGACTTTTACTTATGGAAGATAAAGATTTCTTTTCATTTAAATCAAGCGTACATTGCAGATTGCAAGCATGCGTGATTATGTTGAAAACCGATTATAGATTATTATAATTATTTTACGCGAGCAAAACTATTGACGAAAATAAATAAATAACCGTTTTATCTTGGTGAAAAGAGCTCATGCTAAAAATATCCTAAATAGAAAGCTATACAAATTCATTTTAATAGATGTATTGAAGTTCATACAACGATAAACGGTACATTCTGCCGAGTTTTAATCCGTGCCAATGAAAACGAAAAGCCAATATTTTGGAGTTCGTTATAAAAGTGTAATTTTCTGTACTTTTAACTAGATTGGGACTAAGAAATGAGTTCCTTATAAGCGATAATTCCTTATAACCGTGTTCGCTATAACCATATTTTTATATTAAATAAAGAAGGGCAAAATTCGGGCCAAAATAAATTGTTCCCTATAACCGAAAGTTCGCTATAACCGTGTTCGCTATAAGTGAAGTTTACTGTATTAAGAATGATAATATTGTGAAATTGTGACTAAGTTCACTGTTAAATGTTTCATTACTTTTTTAATATAGGGTTCACGCACGTTTTTTTCCGAGTTATAACGTCTGCAGAGTCTGAGGAACGGTTGGTGCCCGAGTCCTGTAGGACGAGGGCTCCAACCGTTCCGAGGGATTCTGAAGACTTTATAACACGAAATAAACGTACGTTGACGCTATTATAACATAAAATATTAAAACAGATTCATGATATATATTAAGTACAAAACACATAAATTTAATCCTTGTGCTTGAACAGTATTTATCCAAATACTACTACCGTTCCTCGGGACTCTGCAGACGTTATAACACGGAAAAACGTGCGTTAACCGTATATTATAGCAAAAAAATGGCTATTTTCCCCTCTTATACGGCGTATAGACATCGCCGCTAATATATCAAAAAGTACACGCAAAGATATTTTAAAATCTCCTAACTTTGAGAATTTGTTACATGTTTTCTGATTAAAAGATGAGAAATAAATCAAACATACAAGGCGACGTTGGCAGAACGCAACCTCCCTACACAATATAGCCACACAAAAAGGGTACCCAGAAAGCACCCTACCAAAACCAATAGAGAACACAAAAGGGCCAATATGGGAAATAAAGGGTAAAGGGTTTTGGAAAAATTACTGCGGGCGACCTGCTCGCCGAATAAAAGAAGCACGATGCGCAAAACATATGCCGCCAACGCTCGGGGAATATCTTGGCCAAGAGTCGTCGCTGAACCAAGCACTTTAAGCCTTTCGTAACTTTTCTCCGCTGAATCTGTATAAGATATCGCTATATAGATCATTTTAAAAGATATTAATTATATTTAACAAATAATGCATGGCCTTGAGGGCAATATGCAAGTTTACGGACGGATTGGTCAGACTGAGGAAGGTATATGGCCCGAAGCGCAGCTGAGGGACATATACCTTCCGAATCTAAATCCTTTCATCCCTTTTGTTGCTGACATTTTTACTATAATTTACTTTCAAATAATAATTTATTTGTTCAGTGTGTGAAATATTTCAAACCCTAGTCGGAATAATTATTTTCAAGCGATACAGCAAAAAAAAAATCATGCTCTTCTTTTGTTATTCAATTTTTGTTAATCAAATTAAACAGGCAAAAAAACACGAACTTTAAGATTTAATATGACGTCATCCGGTCCATATAAAATTATGGACCGCCCCCGGTCTGTATGCGGTTTATGGACCGGATGACGTCATATTAAATATAGAAGGGCGTATGCAAATGAGGTATAATATTAAATACTGTATATGTTATGATTTTTTTTATATAATGATAATAAATTTTAGTAGGCCTATATGAATATATGTTGCCCGACCACACTACCCCCTCTGTTTTTATCACTTTTTTAGAACTTTTAGCGCATGTGAGTTTTCGGAATACAGGACTGATTTGTACGCATGGGCGTACAGGAGTACGCCTAGTTACGCCCCTGACAACGGTTACAAATTCCTACTCATATCAACGTTTTTTGTTTTACACCGCTAAAACTACCTAACGGTAGTGTATTGATAAATCTCACTAGCTTGCAGTATGTACTGCGGGAATTCCGTTGTACACATGAAAACGGGTTTTGTGGTTGTTTCGTCTGCAAATGTTTTATTTAGTCCTTTAGTGAATAAATTAACTAGGGTACCCAGGCAATAACTCAAACGTTTAGTATAGATTAATACACGCGTCCTGGGCATTGATACTGTCATTTTGCAATTGCTATCTATATGTATATTATATTAAAACTGACGAGAATGTATACATATTTCTTAGAAAGTTTGTTAGTTACTGTATGTCACTTCGTAAAAAGTACCAACATAATGAATGGGGCTACTAGAAAAAAAGACAAAAAGAACAACAACAAAACAACCTTAAAAATAAAAGATCCCCGGGAAAGATACACGTTTTCCTTTTATCATTATTATTTTAATTAAAATTATTATTATTATCATTATTAATACGAAGATTTCAAACCACTGTTGAAACTTGATAAATAACTATATATTTCACAAAGTGTATCAACCTCCAATGTTTCGTTTATCAAGGAGTTTGCTGTTTAATATCTATTTCTTTTCTTACACAATCTACAAATCATTACAGGGAAATGAAAATAATAATAAACATTTTAAAATTAGAATATCATTTCCTAATATCAAGAAAACGTGATTTAGAAATACATTTTTTCCAGTAACGCGATCGGTAATTTCATCCGCTCTTTCACGCGATAACGTAGGAATATCCCCTCAATCATTTACGTCTGATCATTTTCCGCATATATGTAAGAAAACCAAAGTATAAGTTCTATGAATTGTGTTATAAATAGCGGAGTTTTTTTTCCAGTTTTTGATGTAAACGAAGATTATGCGGAGAAATTTTACATTTTCTTTGCTTATCTTTCAAGAGCTCTAACATACGATTTTTCGGCGATTTTTTTTCATTTATAATTTTCCATTTCATTTATTTCAATAAATTAGACTGGAAGAAAGATATTATAAACATCAATCACTTCACAGGCAAATATCACCTAAAAATTATAAAGATTTTCGTAAATTCTGTTGATAATTTAAAGCATGACTGAAGCCATGCCGTAAACAAT